GTGTGCATAATGGTTGGTGTGAATTTTTGAATGAGATCTTCAAACATTTCATTTTTGCCAGAAATTGAATTACAAAGTGGGTGCGTCTGCAACACTGAAATGCAAGGTACGACAAACCTTACAAAAAATCATCAAATAAAAAAAGCACTCCAATCGACGGGTGGCTTAGGTTCATTAGTATACAGGCATGTGCCAATAGCAGCTTTCTTATATAAATTTCTTGTGTGATCACACTGGCAAAATCAGTAACTAATTTAGGGATACAGTGAAACCTCGTTAAACCGTACCCGCGTAAACAGTAGTTTCGTTTAAAAAGTAGTTAAGTCAAATCCTCGACTCGGCGGCCATTGAACATAATGCATTTTGTATCCGCATTAGCCGTACCAGCTTATCGCGTATGTATCGCCTAATAAGTAGTTTTTTCAATTTTCCTTGCGCACTCGCCACGGCATGTCGTCCCCCACTGGGCGTCCCGACAGAACAGCAAGCCCCAGAGATCGAAACACGCCTCGCTTGTTTGTGTTGATGATGATGGCGGCTGTGTTGGTGGGCGTCATCTCTTGGATTTTTCTGCAAGAAGAAGCACTTGGCCGGCTAGGCTTTTGGTATTGTCCACGCGATGGCACTTTGCACAAAAACGCAAAGATAGTGTGCGCTTGCTTTGCTTTCTTTGTTCCTTTGGCGCCGTGCATAAGTGTTCTCTGGTTGATCCGTGCCGTACAGCTCTGGCGTCGTTTTTCACGTGTTGTGTATGTGTGCTTGTGCTGCTTCATACTTGCGTTATGCCGAATCTGGGACAAAAGCATAGAGTACTGAAAATAGAGGAGAAATTGGGCATAATTTGTGCTATTGAAAGTGGCACAAAAAAATTGGCGCTGGCACGCGAAAAGGACCTGCCCTTAACCACAGTGTGTGGAATTTGGAATTCCAGAGAAAAGTTGCTCGGCACTGCTGCTGCAACTGCAAAAAGATGCCGGCTACGCGGTTCGGCGTTGTCAGATGTAAAGAAGGGGCTGGTGAAGTGGCTAATAGCTGCATGCACGGTCAAACAATCTGCCTATCAGCGGACCCCTGCTCGTGGAGAAGGCCCTGGTTTTTGCCTCGTAGCACAACCATGACAACTTCGTGTGCAGCAATGGCTGGCTGGCCAGATTTAAGGCGAGGCACGGCATTACCACGAGGACTGTTTTGAGAGAAGGTACTGCTGTTGACGTGGATGGCACGGAGCAGTGGCAAAATGGTCAGCTGAAGAACATCTTGGAAGACTACGCACCTGATGACATCTTTAATATGGATGAATCGGTCCTATTCTTTAAGCTGCTACCAGACAAAACGCTCGTGTTCAAAGGCGAGACGTGCACCAGCAGCAAGCATGCAAAAGACAGAATATCAGTGGCGTTTTGCGTAAACATGACTGGAACCGACAAAACTCCGCTCCTCGTGATTGGAAAGTCGGCGAAGCCTAGATGTTTCAAAGGCGCCCGGTTGCCATCAAGGGTAATCTATCGCAGCAACACCAAAGCATAGATGACGGCAAAACACTTTGAGGAGTACGTGCACCTACTCGATCGTCATTTTACGGCTAAGAACAGAAGAGTTGTTATTATTTTAGACAATGCTTTGGCACACGTCGCCCTGGACAACTTGACGGCTGTGAAGTTGGCGTTTCTGCCGCCAAACACCACAGCGATGGCCCAGCCCTTGAACCAAGGCATCATTCAAGCTGTAAAACAGCTCTACAAGAAGAATCTGCTGCGCAGATTTCTTCTCGCCGTTGAATGTGGCAAATTATTCTTCATCGACCTGATTGGCGCGATTCACCTGCTCGAATACTCGTGGTGGCAGGTTGAAGCAATGACAGTTCAAAATTGCTTCAAGCGTGCTGGCTTCAGTGTGTGTGTCGGCGACGCAGATGACGCCAGTGACACCATTGACCAGACTTCGGACATCGTAGGCGAAGCTTGCAAAACTCTGCTAGCTGAAGTGCTGGAGTGGCAGGGCGTTACGGAAGGCATTTCCTTCCCCGACTTCAGAGACGCAGACAGCGATGTGCAGACATCTCCGAACATGTCCGACGAAGCCATTGTTGCCTCGGTTGTCGAAGTGTCACCAAATGATAGTGATGAGGACGACATGGAAAGCGACAACACGGGTTATCCAGGTCCGCCAGTGGCCGAAGCTGCCCATTGCGTCAGCGTCATGCGGGTATTTGCCGAGAAGAGGGGGCTGGCGGAAAAGCTGGCTCACAGCATAAGTGAGTTTGAGGCCGCTGTCGTTGCTGCTAGGCCGCCGCGTCGTCAAATGAAGATTACAGACTTTGTCACACGAATTTAATGAATTACTGCACGTTTTTTGTTCTTTCATCGCACTCCCTGAAGGTTTCTTTTTTTGACAGGTAAGTGAGCGACCTGACGCTATTTCGGTTAAGCAGTACTACCGTTTAGTACGTACTTTTCCCGAGCTCCGGCCAACTACGGTTTCACGAGGTTTCACTGTATCTCTAAAACTAGCTAGTTTAGGGGAAAAGCAATAATAGCGAAAGTTGGGCTAGTTGGTGCTTCATACTTAAAAAGTAAAAACAGTGCAAAAATATAGACAAGGGCATTTTTCGGTATGTTGATGATTTCCTATTTGTAATGAAAACCGACAGACAGCATAGCATGAGAGCTGACATATTAAACTTTTTTAAGGATTCTGGCCATGGGCTTAAGTTCACCTATGAGCTGCCTGAAAAAGGAGAGCTTCAGTTACTTGATATTAGAATGCGGTTTCACGAGGAACATTTGTGTTGGCAGTACAAGCCCCGATACGTAACGGGTATCTTGCCGTTCACCTCAGGCCATTCTAAGATAGTTGAGTCTGGCATTATTTATGCTGCGCTGCGGAGTGCACTACTGAAAACGTGCACGCATGCGTTGAAAGAAAGTTTCATGAGCCAGGTTGAGAGGTTGAAGTTGGCGAACTACCCTGATACGAAAATCTTGAGGAGTTGTCAAGAGCTAATCAAGTGGGTCAAAGGCGTAAGTGATACGCACAGGAGAACAGAGCGCATGCGCAATGAAAAGAAACCGGTTGTGGTACCCTACGTGCACAAGTTTTTACATTGCTTGAAAAATGTGGTCAGTAGGTATGGGGTACGTGTGGTGATGTCCGCTCCCAAGAAGCTGTCCTCCATTTGCTCCCGCGTGCATGAAAGAAGTTACGGTTTACGATGACGATAGTTATAGCGCGAGAACAAAACGACGACACAGAGACACGCTATAACTATATAACTCGCGCTATACCTATCGTCATGCCATACCAACTAGCCCAAGCTGCCACACTTCTAAGTTACGGTTTACGACTGTCCGGAGTAGAGAAAAAATAGACATGTCCAGTGTAAATCGTGTGTTGTATATATGTTGCCATTGTCATGCGGGGGGGTTCACATAGGACAAACAGGGCAATGCATTAATGTGAGACTAAAAGAACACTAACCTCTTTAACGGCCGCTGGCGGGTTGCATTAGCCAGCTCATTGTAGGGAGCGTGGCTGCCAACCTTTGGCAGATAAAGCCACTTGTTTGTTTGGACGTCGGGACAAGTGCACCAGGGAAGTGATGGAGGCATTTTTCATTGAAAAGAAGGGAGAAAGGTGTGTAAGCAAGCCGTCTGTGGCCCTTGGTGAAAAAGAAGTTCGGTACCTGGGTTCAGCACTGCCATGTTAAAGTGATTGTTAGTTTGTTAAGGAGTGTTGCGTATGTTTTTGGCAAGTAGAAAGGTGTGTTTTTTGTGTTTTTTTCGTGGTTGTTACACACGTGTTGATGATCAATATGACTAGGCTTGTTTCGTACCTTGTTTGCTTCGATGCGCATACGCCTTTTGTTTTCTATGTGACAGGGTCGAATGCTTGATATAAGTGCGTGTATCTTTCAATAAAGTTTACTTGTGAGTTTAACGCGGTGTCCATTCTTCCTCTGTCCTAGTCTATATTCTTGCGCTGTTTGTACTTCCCAATTAGGGTAAAAGTATTCACATTTTTGAAATCAGCCTGAACAACTCAATCACACTGTGAATTTTTTTTTAAAAACATGAAAACATCTGGAATTTTCTCTCAAGTACAGTGTCCCCCTTTAAGAAGCTGGTTGGGGCCATTAGTTTGTACTTCAAATTAGAGCACGCGCACGCAGAGCGAAAGTTCTCTTAGGAATCATGGCCGCAGAGTCTTGGCACATCTACATGATGAGACAGCAGGCTTAAACGCTCGCTTAACAAGTTGAGTACTACGACAAGGTAAAGTTCAATCTGTTAAAACGGTGCAGGCTATCAGCGATAGCGTTCTGACGACTGCTTCGTCAGAACGCTGGCAAAATTGAGTCTTATACAAAATTGTATATAAGCTTAATTCAAACAGGAATGTTTCAAGGAAGGAAAGGCCTACAGGGACCATGCTGATGTTATTCAGTGCTTAGCAGCTGCACAATTTAGCAGCCAGTTATCCTGAAGCGTGACGGCATGGCTCCAAAGTATGCCAGGAGTACCTAGTGAAAAAAATCATACGTATGGGTGGTACGGGTTCGCACATGCTAAATTATGGTATTTCGAAGCCGCATGTTGTGGCATCGGCATGATCCATAAAGATGACTGCCACATCAAAAGCTCCACAAATACACCATTCGTATAAATGGAAATATGGTATTACGGATGCCGATGATACGACTGGTCATGCGGAATGGTGGTCAAATAACCCTGGAGGGTTAATGTCCCAGAACCCTGACATGATAGTGAGAAATGCCATAGTAGAGGATTCCGGAAATTCTGACCACCTGGGGTCTTTTAACACGCACCTAAGTTAAAGCACAGAGCCCTCAAGCATTTTTTCCTTAATCGAAAATGCGGGTGCCACAGCCGGTATTCAATATTACGACCTGGGAATTGTGGTAAGGTGCAAACCGCATAATGTGACTTCGATATATACAACTTACACATCAGATCTTACCGGGTTCTTGTACCGTTCCTTTAGGGAAAATGAAATTTATATTCTGTATGTAGAGCTATGGCATCGTACAGTTGCTTCTCATATATCAAGTAGAGCAAACGGCATTCATTTCACAGGTGCAAAATAACTGCAGCATAAGAGACAGCGCGACAATGTCCCAGCAAACATTTACACATGTAGAATAAGTATAAACAGCGTAAAGTGAGAGATGACACAACCAAGTCCCGGCACCCACCGCCACACGAGCATTGTCTTCTTCTGCCACCACTTCTTATCTCATTCAGCTCGTCTGCCAGGTATCAGCTCGTTCTCCTGTCACCGCTCTGCAAGAACTTCTTTTGCAAGTTCTCCAAGGGAAACTCGAAAGCACCTAAAATAGCCAAGAAATCAATGATATGAGAGCAGAAAGAATGAAATCAATTGCAAACAAAACTTAGGTAAACCTGCAATCCACAAAAGTGTTAGAGCTGTGGCACATACTATGTCCGCATCCCATTTTAACTAACAATATTTAAAATAACTGTCCAATTCATATTGTAAGAAATGCAATAGAAATAAAGGAAAGTGCCACTCAACGATCGCATTTGTTTATAAAAAAATGCATTAAGGCTTGTGAGGCCTCGGCGAGGCAAACGAGCGCATCACCACGCCATGCTCTTGGAGTGAACGGACACAGAAGACGCGGTCGGTACAAAGCACACAACATATATACATTAATAACTAATTTAGACGACGATATTGTCCGCCAAATGATACACCAATTTCATTTAACACGCTACCATACAAACAACATAAGGATATTATGGTCGTGCGATATCATTTTTTTGTTAAAGCTTGTGTAGCTAATTTCTGATTTCGGGGTATGGTTTGATTTAAGGTTTGGGGAATCTGGGCGGTAAAGTTGTCTGCGCCGCGTGGCGCACGTGTCTCGCCCCAAGGCTTTATTTCGGTGGTGACCACCGCCGGGCGATAGACGGCGTTGTGTTCGCTTTGAGTACCACTGTATGTAGAGAGGTAGCGCAGGCGGTGGCCCCTGGCGGAAGGCAGGCCTAGGTGGTGGGCGAGCGTTGAGCGAGTCTCTTCTGCGCGTGGCGGCTGCCGCGAACGGTAGTCTGTAGCGTGGGTTCCCGGTGCTCGGCACCGCGGGCTTCGCGCCGGGGTCCCACGTGGAAAGTCAGGCGTTGGCGACGCCGCCTTGGGTATGTGTTAGTGTGTTGGGTGTGTTAGTGTGTGTTTATCATGTTATTGTGTGTTTAGTGTGTCATTGCGTTATGTTGTTTGTATGGTAGCGTGTTAATTAAAATTGATGTACCATTCGGCGGACGATGTCATCGTCTAAATTTGTTAATAAATGTATGTATGTTGTGTGTTTTGTACCGACCGGGTCTACTGCGTCCGTTCTTTCTAAGAGCGTGGCGTGGCAATGCGCTCGTTCGCCTCGCGGAGACCCCACACTGGCTGCCCAACGTGGGGCTCTTGGAGTATCGGACGACAGCTTTTGCGGTTCAATACAGATTTTGTTAGAGCCGGAGTAGAGTAGGCCTAGGGGGGACTTCTTTGCTAGCGTTGGTGGTGTGCTTTGTTGAGAAGCAAGGAGATTGGTTTTGTAACGTGTTTGAATTTGTCGGCAGGTTGACTTTCCATTTATTTTTTGTTTGCTCGCAAGTCTTATTTTTTGTTGTTGTTAGTTTTCAAAAACGTTGTTGAATTGGGACGAGAGCTATGCGGTCTGCATCCTGTGGTGAGCAAGGCCTAGAGCACGTGGTTTGTAGGCCAGGCCCGAAGCGAGTGCGTACGGAAGCCTCGCGGGTGGTCCGATTTTCTGTAAATAGCTTCTATATCTTTGGGCTCAGATAGCCGGGCGTCGTTGCTGTCTGGTATTGCGGCTCGACGCCGAGGCGTCGTGACACCGCCCGGGGCGATGGACGCCGATAGCTCTGTAAGCTGCTGTGTGCGGCGAGCGATAGGGCCACCTCACAGAGTGGACATCTCCTCGCGGCTGCCTCTTCTGCGCCTAGGCTGGGTGCTGGGTGGATGCCGGTTGTTGCCGAGCGACTCATTAGGCCTAAGGCTCTGCGCAGCCGCCTGTCGCACGTGGCACAACTAGGTGGATCGTGGCGTTGAGGTGTTGCGATCTGCTTCCATTAATTTTTTTTTATCTTGCGATGCACGAGTTAGGAAAAGTGATTTTTGTTTTATTTTGATGGGCGTCTCAGCCACCACCGATGTATTAGCTAGCAGTACTGACCAACGTACAACGTGGTCAAAAAGCTCCAAGCTCCCTTCCCGAGGACCTGCTCGATTGTTTTCTTTCAAGTTTTTTTATTGTTGTAATTGATGTATTCAGCGGCAGGGATGTCATCCACGGCCGGCTGTCCTGCATATCGTCAGTGTCGCTGGCCAGGAATGCGGTCGTGAGATCGGGCGAGGGAGATGCCTGGGACCTGCGCAACTGCCTGCAGTCCGGCGCCCTCGCGTGTGCTGGTCGCAACTGGAATACGTGTCGGCGCTAGCGATGGTTCATCGCGCCGACGGCAACGTTGCTGTTTCGGGGCCGGTACTGAGGGGAAGTCTAGCCGGACAGTGCAGCAGTGTCGACCAGCGGCGGTGTCGTGGTGCAAGGACATTATGGTCGTGCGATATCATTTTTTTTTGTTAAAGCTTGTGTAGCTAATTTCTGATTTCGGGATATGGTTTGATTTAGGGTTTGGGGAATGTGGGGGTGCTGACACCCCCCCTGTAAAGTTGTCTGCGCCGCGTGGCGCACGTGTCTCGCCCCAAGGCTTCATTTCGGTGGTGACCATCGCCGGGCGATAGATGGCGTTGTGTTCGCTTTGAGTACCACTGTTGGTAGAGTGGTAGCGCCGGCGGTGGCCTCTGGCAGAAGGCAGGCCTAGGTGGTGGGCGAGCGTTGAGCGAGTCTCTTCTGCGCGTGGCGGCTGCCGCGAACGGTTGTGTGTAGCGTGGGTCCCGGTGCTCGGCACCGCGGGCTTCGCGCCGGAGTCCCACGTGGAAAGTCAGGCGTTGGCGACGCCGCCTTGGGTATATGTTAGTGTGTTGGGTGTGTTAGTGTGTGTTTATCATGTTATTGTGTGTTTTGTGTGTCACTGCGTTATGTTGTTTGTATGGTAGCGTGGTAAATGAAATTGGTGTATCATTTGGCGGACAATATCGTCGTCTAAATTAGTTAATAAATGTATGCATGTTGTGTGCTTTGTACCGACCACGTCTTCTGTGTCCGTTCACTCCAAGAGCGTGGCGTGGCTATGCGCTCCTTTGCCTCGCCGAGGCCCCACAGGCTTCAGAGTATTATAATGCAGGATAACATTTTCGAGAAAACAATGAAGTTCCAAATCGCAATTTTAGAATAGATACCATGATTATAACTACAACCAAACAATTAAGTTCGATATGGCCACGAATTCATAATTTTGACTGCTTCAAAAGGCATTTCCTGATTTCTAAATATTTGAAGTCCAATATTCAGCCTACATTTAATAACACCCATTTGAAATACTAGAATTCTAGCGATCCTAGACTGACAATGTGACACAACCAGCTGCCATAGGCACAAACAAGGTGACGTCACCACAAGACGTTTGAAATCGTAAGCATACGATTAACCTTCACTTGCTGGGAAAAATAAGCTTATGTAAAAGCAAGGAAGCAATAAAATAGTACTGCAACTTTTTAGGTTCCAGTAGTGCTCCAAGTGCAAAGACCGACTGCGGTGGAGTAATAGGGGAAGTGTCTGAATGGTGTTTACCCCAGCTTTTATGGTGTAGGGCAATACATCTGAACCCACCTGCAAATGCTCATTTCGCAACTTTTCATGGCAATGAAATCAAAACACCTTTTTGAGCATTATTGTCAAATAGTCGGCAGAGTTTTAGTGTGCAAGATATTTACGAGACCCCAGACGAAACGATATGATGCTGCCAACCTTGGCAAACTATGACTCAGTGGACCCCTCGTTGCATTGCCATGTTTTGTCAACGACCGACTTTTGAATGGCCGATTCAATATGGCACGAGCTGGAGAGTTGAAAGGAATGCCCCAGCATTACTTTTAATGCAGCACTGGGCTTGAGTAATTATGCCATAACATCTATGGCATAATTACTCAAGCCGAGCTGGAGAATCAGAACAGTGCTTTTTTAGCTATCACCAGGACAATAAAACAAATCGAGGTATAGTACTCAATGGACAGACAGCCAGGATTACAAATACACAAGTCATTGAAAATTTTTTGTAACTGTTTCATGGCCCCTAAAGGCCTATATTCACTCGGCCTTGCATGAACCGCACCACATAAAGCGCAGTGCATATGTGGGTGGCCTCAAAATTAGAAAGAAAAAAAAACCAACAGCACTGTTCGTCATCCTCGATTCCTTTCATTTGCCTCTACATAAGCTGGCTTTTATTTAAACAGTTTATGTCAAACTATGTACCTGAAAACGTACTGTGCATGAAAAAGTAGTATGTTGCTGAAAACTGTTTCAAAATTTGACATATCAACTTTCTGAAACTATCATCTTTGCATAGGGCTGCATAAAAAAGAAGAATAAAGACAGGTCTGACTAAATTCACAATGTATGTACACGTTTGATCGGCTCTTGCTACCAGAATCGGTGCGCCGACGTTCTGGTGGCAACTATCGCATTAAATGGAGTGATCGCCTGGTTCGAAAGCTTTGCTAATGCACTGTTTCCATATTAGATAAACTTGTCTCTCTAAACAGCAGAGAAGCGACATTAATTTGGGCAGTTCATGACCAGAGCCATGTAGCATATAAATTAAAACCAATTGAGTACATTACACAATCTAGCACCACATAGACACTTAGCAATGCGAAGCATTGTGTCGGCTATGCACTGCACGAGCAACACAAACGTTAAGCAAGTAAGAGCACCGACGATGCATGTAGGCTCGCTTGCACGCCTCTTCACGCAGCCAAAGTGAAGTGCAGCCACAGTGTCTTTTTCTTAACAGGTACAGTAAAAACTGACTGCTACGTTTCTCATTGCTGCATTTCCTGGCTGTTATGCCATTTTCCGCTGGTCCTGGCAAAACTGCCATATCATCCAATCTATTGTGGGATCGTTCCTGTATGATACATCACAAAGTCCACTCTGGATCGAGCGACCAAGAAAGCTGTAACCTGGTCTTTTCAGACTACTGCACCTGGCTCAACTGTTTAGCTGCATGAGTGGTGCGCGCGACAAAGGTAACATACTTCTGGTAACCATGAAAAAAGGTACTTCCTTTGAGATACATAATGCAAACATAGCATCTATAGCATATTTACTTTCAAACCTGTTTTTTTGTAAGAATGGGCTTGTTGGTAGTAATACATCATGAAAACATGTGGTGCACAAAAACTACATGAACTAAGAAATTGATAAGATGATGCGCTCACTTGAAACGGTAGTACAGTCGAACCCCGCCACAACAAAATTGACGGGGCGCAGAAAAATTTTGTTGCAGTGAAATAGAAAAAAATATATCTGAGCTGAGCTAGCAAAACTCAGAAAAGTTTATTGTCAAAATTCAAAAAATGTCCACCACTTCCTATTCTTTCACTGCAGCGTCACGACGCAATTCGCACCCATGCATAGAGAGGCCATGGTGAAAAAAGCACGCTGAAACGTCTAAAACCGCTTTCGTGAACGAACCAAGCAGGTGCATTAACACGATAACACTAGCAGCTGTCCGCCGTCAAAAGTATCAGATAACGCCGAGAAGGAGGCTGGGTATCGTGGAGCGGAGACTTTTGCATTATTCTATGCCATTCATATCATCCATCAGCCGCGGCTAGCTCATTTTGTTGATAATGTGGACGAACAGCTGCTCTGATTAGTTACCACACTGGCAAGCGCGAGCATAATGATTGATAAGCATTGGAAAAGGCATCATGCCGCGGTTGCACCCAGTAGCTGCGAGACGGAAACCATGAACAGAGGGTCTCAGCTTGAGCTTTGGATCGTCTGTGGCTCAAAAGCAAGCCAATGGAAAACGAAAGCAGGGAAGTCTCATTGCCATCGCTATCGAGCAAAAACGACGTCCATGCTTGCTGAACAGCGGTGGTGTAGCGGCCGTTTCTGGTGGTGCCAACCCGTGTTTTAGACTTTCTTGACGCATGTTGAGGCTCTGAAAATGCATCGAAATGCTAAAGATTGGGTTTACTGCATTGTAATAAGTATCTGAGCCTGTACTTGCATCGTTAAGTTTCGTTGAAGCGGGAGATCAAAGAAAAAGTGTTCGTTGTGGCAAAAATATTTATCCATCGACTCCTATAGACTGCTGATAGGTAGAGAGAAAGAAGTAAACGTTTATTTTGAAACAGTGTCTTGAGCGATGCCCGGTGTCACCCTGAGGTGGGAGGGCTCCTAAGTCCAGCAACCCTCTGGCTTCTACTACCCTCTTGGCTCTGGCGACGAGTTGTTTGTCTTCCAGGTCCTCGAGGTCGAGCTTCACCTCCCATGTTTCAGTTAGGTCTTCGTTCGTCCATCCTGCTTCGTTATCAGGCGTGTGTTGTTGCAGATTACGTCTGGCAATATACTACCATGCAAGAAGGAAGTGTGCCAGGGTGTCCGGTACAAATTTTTCGTTGTAGCAGAAATTTTGTTGAAGCAGCATTCGTTGTAGCGGAGTTCGACTGTACTGCACCTTTAGACAGAACGAAACAATCCAGCTGCGGCAGATGGCGATGGCTGTCAATATCACGAGCAAAGTGGGGTTGAACGTAGAAGAGAAGTAGCCCAGTGTACTAGAAATGTTACTTGAAAGCATATGAGAATGGGCTTGTTGGTGGTGCTACATTGTGAAAATGTGAGACCTACATAAATACACGAACAAAGAGAGACGACAGAACGATGCACTGACTTTGAACAGTAGTTAGTGTGCCTTTAGACAGAAGGAAACAGCCCGGGCGCAGCAGACCATAATGACTGTCAATCTTATGAGCCAAGTGGGGTTGAACGTAGAATAAGAGTGGCCCAATGTAACTTGACGGGATGAAAGATTTGCCTTGTTGGTGGTGATACATCATGCATATGTGTGGGGCACGAAAAAAGACACAGACTATGAAGGGCAACGGGACAATGAACTGACTTCAAACGATAGTCTGTTCGTGTTTAGACAGAACGAAACAACGCGGCACGGCAAAAGACGACTGTCAACGTAACAAGCGAAGTAGGGATGAACGTAGAATAGAAGTGGCCCAGTGTACTATGTATAGTGACTTGAGAGGCTTGGTGGTGGTGATACATCATGAAAATGTGTAGCGCACAAAAATGACAACAGGATGATGCGTTGAGCTCGAACGTGTGGCACATGGTATCCTGATGTATTGCCATTAACAAGACCACTTTTAAATTTAGTTAAGCTACATTTCTAGCACACATGGCCGCTCCTGTTCTACGCTCAACCTCACTTCCCTCGATAAATTGACAGCCATCGCCATCAGCCACGCCTGGATTCCTTCTGTCTAAAAGCGCACCGACTACTGTTTGAAGTGAGCACATCGTCTCTTAGTCTCTTAGTGAGCACATCTTTTTCTTAGTCTGTCCTTTTCTGTGTGCTACAAGTTTTTATGTTACTTTTTATGCTTATGAAAGTAAGGCGTTCGAAACTGATGTTGGTTTCTGCCATAGTATTGCCGTGTACTAATAAATAACCGTTACTTCTCGAACGAGTCTGCGCAGTTTGTGGTTGGATTTATCCAGCCGGTTGCGATGCGTGTGCTTATTTTTTTTATGCCTTCAACAGTTGGTGCCGAAAGAATAGCATATGTTGATTACACTTTTGTGGATGTTGTTGCTTTCAGCTTTGCAGTTCTCTTCGTCATTGAAGTTGTAGCTGCGTGCTTGCTAAAGCGTAACACAGTAACAAACCTCAAGAATTGATGACGCACAGCTCTATTTTTTTCAACTATTCCTTTTGGGGATGCTTTAATTTTCATGAGAAATTTGAATACTTAATACAAGCCATGGCAGTATAATCATACACCAAGAGTGCTAAATTATTGCTTCAAGCATTTGGTGGCAACCTTGCAAGCGACCCCTTGTAAAGTGTCGGCCATGATGGCACTAGGTTTACTCATAGGATATCACACTACAGCTGCTAGAAAAAGCTTGCATGCTGCTTGGGCATGAACACTTGATGACGTCGCACAGTTTCTTCAAGCAAGAGCATTGAATAAAATGCAGCTTTACTGAATATTTTTCCAATTCGCAGCTGCTTGTTTGTCATGTTTCGGAGATCTACAGCTTCTCAAAACTGTCATTTTGTTTATAGTGTGGTACCGCTTATAACGCAGATAATATTGCTTCCGGCAACTAACACTATAAGAGCATCTATGCTGCAATGGTTATTTAGTGAAAAAGTTTATATGGTTTTCTTGCAAATAATGTAATCTATCTGTAATGAGAACAGGGATTAATAACAGTTTTTCTCTATCATGAGAACGAGCCAGTATGCCGCTGCACCTGATCCACTAGATGCAATCAATGCATTATGTTGCATCTATGATGCCACAGGCACCCAATTATTCACAATACTTTTCTAAAATGGTCATGCTTGCTAAACCAAAATAATTGTGATAACACGTCCAAGTTTGCATGTAAGGCTTCCTGGAAGTAAAACTGGAATAAATTATCTTTGGTCGGCTCCTTTACACTTCCACATATGAACAGAGCTCAAATATTCTACAAATTGCTGGCAGCTCTATAAGAAAGTAGTACAGCAAAACTTACCCAACACACCTGTACAATTACCGAGGTGACAAAGCTAGAGTCATTGTCGCGGCAGCCACAAATATTTTGTAACCTCTGAACAACAGCACAACTTGGGGCCACTAACACCACCAGTGACCAAGTCAACACTAACAAGCTAGGGGAATCTCCGCACTTACTACCCTTAATTGTTCCAGCAACCACGGTTGAATCTCACCCAGTATTTCAGCACTTATGACAGGGCAATGCTAAACCGTTCAGGCACTCACACTGCAGAGCGTGAAGTCCCCTCTAAGGATCGTCCCTTTCATTCTCCTTGAAGAAACAGCAGCAAAGTACACCGGTGACGTACTCGTGGCCGAGGTTTTCATCTCCCCAGAGAGCTTGGGGGTCCTTGGTCTCCACTGGAGAGCACTGCAGCTTCTGGCTTTCTGCTTGAAGTCGACCAGCACAAGGTCATAGATGAGGTCGTTAGAATGGTAAATCATAATATACAAACTCATAAGACAAAATAACGTACTCTAATTTTCCGGACACACATCTAGGCACCCTTTTTTAAATGTTATGGCCTTTCATTTGCAACCTCTATTTGAGTTTTTTTGTGTATGTGAGGCTGAACTCTACTTTGAGGGTGCTGTTTTACTATGTGAGTGCACGTAAAAACAGCTCATCCGCCACAACTGCAAACACACAGGGAAGCAACATAAGCTGGATGCTTTGGACAGCTTCTTTAATGGAATGGCTTATGTGGACCCGGACACTGTTACTATATTGAAAAGTATGCAAAGATTAATAATTATTGAAGGGACGGACAACTAGCCAGAACGTGTCAGTACATCCTGCTGCAAATAAGAAGATTGCATTTGGTAGTGCATGCTTTTCATAATTTGGGTGGAATTATATTTTCAAATTGCGTTTAAAGCTCCAAAAACAGCGTGACGTGAAGCCTAACAAAAAAGGCTTGGTGCTGTGTGATTGAGTCATTTTGTTTGCTGTACATGAAATTACAATTTTCTGTGCACCACCATTGATGCTCAAGATTGCTCTGTATTATATTATTACCTATCCCCACTCTATTTTGTGCTTTTTACAACGTAAAGAAGCTCATGCTGAGAAGCAACTTTGCCTTTATGACTAGTGCAACTTATCAAGATGCAACACATGTCTCCAGAATGCACGCATGTGTACTAAACTGCAGTGCCCAAACAGATTATGCTGCATTTTCTTCCAGAGCAGCAACAGATTGGAATGGCCTTTCCCACACCATTGCAGCCATTACTAATCCATCAAACTTCTTGGACAAAGTAACAAACTTTCTTACCGAGTGAAGTCACCTGGCTACACTGTATACCCACCCCTTATGTAATACCCCCTTGAGGGGTCTTTAAGGAAATAAAGTGATGTGATGTACCGCTGTTGTGCTCACTGCCTACACATTGCAGCCCTAAAATTATGAAAGCGTTCACTGTGGAGTCACTGTTTTTTTCCGTGATTGGCCACTGATCAGTTGACTTTCTATTGAACTAAAACAAAGACAACCACAAAAATGGTTGTCAGAGCCTTTAATTGTTTATAGCTTTGAAGCATGTAAATATATTAAAATGAGGGTCCTATATAGCACAATGTGGTCTGCTTGATTAGTAAAAGTGGGGACCCATGCCACAAAACACACACACAGCTCGAGAGAAATATTTCAAGTGAACCTAGCGTAGTGTTGAACATGCTTGGCGATTTCTGCCTTTAAGCCTTACCCATTGCCTATTTTCCATTTCACTAAGACCTGTGACTTCCAACCCATGTAATGCTGCATGAAAAGGCATTAGAACACTGCCTAGTTCAAAGCTAACAAAGTGCATTCACATCATGTAGGCATTCTTCATGGACGAGGCAGAGTGACTGATTGTGCAAAACATTTCATACTTGCATGCACTCCAAGCGCCAACACTGGTGCATTTTGCCTGCTTCAGATTATGAGGCATCATTTGTAAAAAAAACAATATAAAATCTAGAAGTCATATGGGATGACAGGTGGCGCGCACCCCTTCTGCACACACACGCACGCACACACACACACACACTTAGGAAAATGAACCGACTCACACAGTCACGACGAATGAGATTCCGTGTTTCAGAGAAACAAGTAGGCTGACAAAGGTAGGGTAAGCTACTGATGCTTTTTTTGACCACCTAGTGATGAGATGAGTTAAAAAGGCGGAAGCTACTTGTTCGCACGTAGTAAATAGGCCACGATGTTTTGTTGGAATGAAAGAAAAATGTGTCCATCTACTTTGACCATGCTTTTGGAGCCATGTAATTGTACACAGCCTGTAATATTAGGTATATTTTTTGTGCATTATTCAAGCACATTACATACTGTATTCATGTCTGCCATAGCATGTTTTAGAAACACATTAGCTCATACCTGCCAAGTTCAAGGAATCTAAATTTGGGAGCTCCGGAAAAAGGGGACAGGGGAGGAGGGAAGTATTAACCTTCTTTTCACTCGTTCATCCCTCGTAGTAGTGCGTAATATGTCTCATGCTTTGACCTGCAAGGTGGTGCCGGTGGGAGATTTCTCCTGCGCGTTGTTGAACAATAAAAAATTTGCAGCAGGCGCGTTAACTAAAAGCCGAATTCTCCTGTCTCTCATTCCACATTAGCCGCCATTGGCATGTACATTGAGCACTACCCGACAAGAAAGGGTTGCTACGTTATACTTCTGGGCGTAACCTCCTTGGTTTTAGAAAGGTTTAGCGAGCGTTGGGCCGCAGTGCCATGAATACAGTGAACTAGTATATACCATGAACTCGAGGTGGTCAAAGGTGGGTAGTATATAGGAAGCGCAAGCCGTAAGGAAGTGTGCGTGTGCCACCTCTCGTTTAGTCCTTGGAATGTCTGGTGGATGGCGGTGCTTCTATATGCTAAATATATGATGAAAAGATGCGAGATGGTGGTACTTGGAGTGTTGACTAGATGGACGAACAGACACACAGACAGATGCATGGACGGACGCACGGATGGCTGTACGAACGGATGGACACATGGACGGACGCACAGATGGACGTGCAGATGCACGAACAGATGCATGCACGGACGGGCGGATGGACGCAAGGAAGGAGAAAGATTTAGCGAGCATTGAGCCGCAGTGCCATGAATACAGTGAACTAGAGAAAGATTTAGCGAGCATTGAGCCGCAGTGCCATGAATACAGTGAACTAGTATATACCATAAACTCGAGGTGGTTAAAGGCGGGAAGTAGACACGAAACGCCAGCTGTAAGAAAGTGTGCATGTGCCACCTCTTGTTTAGTCCTTGGAATGTCCGCTGGATGGCGGTGCTTCTATATGCGAAATATATGATGAAATTATGCGAGATTGTGGTACTTGAAGTGTTGACTAGATGGACGAACGGACACACAGACAGATGCATGGATGGAGACACGGATGGCTGCACGAACGGATGAAAGCATGGACGAATGCACGGATGCACAAACAGATGAACGCACGGACGGTCACATGGACGGACGAAAGCAAGAATGAATGGACGAACGGATGCTTCACCCCACTCTTCATCATTCACCCCGCGAAATGCTGCCATGTTTTTTCTTTTTCTGTTTGCAAAAAAAAGAAACCCTCCCGAAATGAGGGAGTGGGGTCCCAAGCAGCCCCGTAAGCGTAAACATTTAAAGAAACGCAGGCAGTGTCTCCATGTGCAGCACAATATTGGTGGTACAGACTCAAGGGTGGGCGAAAATTTACGGACACCTCAAATCTTATAGAATGAAATAACTAACAAAATCGGTTCTCAAACCACGATACGCCCACAAAATACCTATTTGCAAATGCGGATATGGCGCCACTGGCTTCCGTAAAAGTGCATTTCAAAGCGCACGCCATCGCATCGGAGCGACCACTTTTTCCCGCACGGTGGTTGCGAAAAACACCAGTTCCGCTTTCAATTTGCGTGATCTGGCCGTGAACCCCCCTTTAAAGTATATCGTTTGTTATCTGTGATCGCATTTGCTCGGTTTTGTTCGAAGCTTTTGCGAAAAGCAGCGTCGCTTTGACTGGGTGAGCATTGGATGTGCGTGCACTTTTGGAGTTCTGTCAGTTACTTCATTGCCATGCATAATCGTTTCAAGAACAACCACGTTCCGACAGTGGTGACTGTTTAGCGTGCTGGAAGCTACAAACTCCTGCATATTCCAGCTGTAACTCAATGGTTTCGGTATTAATATTATGGCTACCCGTCGCATTTCAGTAAATTGTCAGAAAAATGCAAATTTTTGCCCTTTCGACATAGTAGGATTTGATGGAGTACGTCACGAATTCGTAGCAGCCTTTTTCACATCACCGAGATATTACTGTACACCACATAAATGGCTCCTAAATATGTTCAGATGGATAGCATGTTCGATTATAGTAAAGTTTATGAAATAGCACACAGAAATCCTGTTTCCAGGAGATTTTTCGGCCAAATGTACAACCGTGCAAAATGGTCAAAATCCTGAAGTGTCCCGGGTAATCCGAGAAACTTGGCAGGTAAGATAGCTGTACAGCCAACGAAGGTTTAAGAGCAATTATATTTCATCTAAAATCAACTTATACCACCGGGTAGGCAAAGCATTAGACTAAAAAATTAGGCATATAACAATAGCTACACCAAAACTGTTCTAAACGTTTTTTCAGCAATACAGGGCAAAGTGACATCAGTTTCTTTGAAAAACCCCTCTCAATATAACATGCCAACAAGACACATGCACGGACTACTTTACACTGTTTGTAATGTTGTGACCACCAGATGACGTTGACCCACCTCTCAGAAACATCAAACACGCAAAGAGCAACAACTGAGCTTGCTCCTGTTGTAATGAAAGCGACAGATTCATGATGAATCTGTTGTCTTTCATTATGACATATTAATTTTGAATGGTTTAGTTACAGACGTTTGAGCAGTTCAGTATACTTTTCAAAGGTTTGGGATTGCTGGTATTGGACCACCAAACTGAGTCAATTTTTTTAATTTTGATATGTATACTCTGTCCCAAAAGCTCGTGGCAGCAAGGTGGGAAGTGGGAGGTGTTGGCAAGCTATGTTCTTGCCGCCCAGCAAAGCATAAAATTGTAAGTATTTGCTTAAAGGGTTGCTAACGCCCCCCCTTGGTAGTTTCTTTAACATTTCAAGTAAACACATGCTTCGGGTTCAGAATCTCATAATCCCAATCAGAAATGTCGAAAGCTACAGTACTACAAGCAGCAGGCGCCCTGAAAGTTCCTAGAAACAATCCCTTCTCCTGTCCGGGACTCCTGACTTGTTCAGCCTCGTACTATTCATCGTAATGTCCACATTTTCACCTGTCCATCACCTACAATACCTTTTCGTCCGCTCACCACACTCTACCTCCTCGCACGAGAAGGAGGCATACTTGG